TTGGAAAGACTGTGCTGCTCGGTCCAGAGGGCTGCTCAGGTCGCCCAATGGAATGGGCTGGAAGCCTTGTCTGACCACCATTTGGAGTTTGACAGCTTTTAGTCTGTAAGAGACAAAATGAACAAGGGCGTTAAAAACACACGGTGCAAAGAGAAGCATCAAGATTACAGAAGTTATTGGGCCAAGGAGAGGAAATAGCCAGGATATCCATGACCAGATGTCAGGCCAGAAATCCCAGCCCTGCTTGGCCTGGTCCTGGAGCTGTTTGGCTTTGTCCAGGAAAAGTACGAATTTGGATTTGTACCTGTCTAGTCTGATTGACCCAGAGACAACATTCTTCCTGGAACATGGCACAGACACCCCCCAGAACAGCAGTTAGCATGTCCAATATTTCTTTCTTACATAACCTTTCGTGACTTCCACACACCCTCTTCAACTTACTTGAAACAGTCCATCATTTCCATTCCAGTCCAGAGTAAACTAGCCATCAGGATTCTTACAAACCATGTCCTTTCCTTATTTAAAAAGCTCTTTCCTTTTTAACCCTTCTTACCAACAACACTCTTCCCTTCTAAGCCTTTTTTACCAAGCACACAATTCTATACTTGTGATGTTTTCCATAGAGCCTGGTTGGCTCTTTCTACCTTACCGGAAGACTGAGGTCTCCATGCAAAGTGAAGATGCCTTACAAATCCCTTGTGTGATCTAGAGCTCTGCTTAAGGCAATCAGTTCTGCTAACTGAGCAAAAGTTCCTGGAGGCAGAGTGAAGGGAGCAGCCGAGAGCCGCCCTAAAGGTGGCCTTGATAAGATAGAAAAACAGGAACTTCGACCCAGTACTTTTCCACTGACTATACTTCCTCACCGCTCAACGACCCCCCTCCCCTTGTCCAAGCTTAACAAAGAAACCGCAAGGCACATAGGGCACGTAGCCACCCGTTTCTCCTCCTCAACGACCCCCTCCCCTTGTAGTTGCCCAATGAACTCACGCCACCCTATGGTATGTTAATTTTGTGGTTTTGCCCCTTAAAAGCTGTGTGAGATAACTGCTCGGGGCTCCTCTCTTTCTCGCTGCTTGCGGCAGCAGAGGGCCCATTTGCGCAAATGAAATAAAACTGCCTCTTGCTTTTTACATCGCCTGGTCTGGAGTCTGTTTCTGGGGTCGTCACAAAAGGGCACTGCTTTTGGGGTCCTTCAAGAGCACGCTTCAGTAACGTGCCATGCTGTAACTGTTGCATGCCCTGAGAAGCAGGTCCCGTCTGACAAAACTGTTTCTGTCTGTGAACCAAATTTCATCTGCGTTAGTCAGGGGGCTGTCTCTTGGGTCCCTTCTGCTGGCATAGATCAAGTCTATAGTCTCAGTACAGGAGTGGAGGGGACCACTTTCCCCTGGAACTGGCATTAAAGTAGCTGGGTTAGAGTAGAACAATGCTTTACTTTTACCTGAGGGTTTTCTAGAAGGAGGACCTGATATTTTAGTATTCTACTATCTGTGAGTCAGTGCTCTAATAGAGAATTTATGTGATGTGGGGTATAAAGGGTGATATTTTGCCCCAATGTAATTCTAGATACTTCCTCTGTCAGCAAGGCAGCTGCTGATATCATCCTTAGGCAGTGGAGGCCATCCTTGTACAACCATGTCTAAGGTTTTAGAAAAGTAGCCTACAGGTTGCTTAACAGGTCCCAGATCCCGAGTTGACACTCCTAAGGTGACTCCTTGCCTCCCAGTGAAGTACAGCTGGGAGAGTCTCTATGGGTTTGGCAGTCCTAGCACAGGGGCTTTAATCATAGCATCCTTTAGCTGAGCAAAGGCTGTGGTTTGCTCTTTTTCCCAGAGGAGGGGGCCTTGTTCTGGGCTGTCTTTTAGAGCCTGGTATAGAGGCCTTGCTACTTCTCCATATTTTGGAATCCATAACCTGCAATACCCAGTCAGTCCGAGGAATGCTCGGAGTTGCCTTAAAGTGGTAGGGGTGGGGATTTGCTGTATGGCCTGTATTCTCTCTGGGGCTAGTCTCCTCTCCCCAGGAGTGAGGATGAGCCCTAAATAGTTAACTTCCTGCCGGACTAGCTGTGCCTTTTTCTTGGATACTCGGTGAGGATTTATCCAAATAGGTGCAGGACTATCTGAGTTAGCTGTTACTAAAAGCCCTGTTTTTACGAACTGGCAGGGAGGGCTTTCTAAGCTTAATACTATTGGATAGACTTTTAAGGCCTGGCTGGGTGTGTGAGGCCCAGACCTATCCATGGGGTGCTGGAAGAGAATTGTAAGAGATGCAAATCTCCTTTAAGGGAGGCACCCTGTTAACTTGCATTACATGGCTAGACTAGGAGGAGATAGGAGGCTGATAGAAATAGGCAACTTATGTTTCACTGACCCTAGGCCATCCCCTCAATAGCAGTGGCTGGAGCTGGAAGCTAGGCAGAGCCAAAGGCTTTTTAGCTTGGGGCCACAAGGTCTGCAGTTCTGAACCAGGAGTCCTTTGACACCCAGGGCAGTTCCATGTCTGTAGGACCCCAAAAGCGGTGTCCTCTTGTGACGACCCCAGAAACACAGACTCCAGACCAGACGATGCAATAGAGCAGGAGGTAATTTTTATTTCATTTGCGCAAATGGGCCCCCTACTGCTGCAAGCAGCAAGCAAGTGAGAGGAGCCCCGAACAATCATTTTACACAGTTTTTAAAGGGCAAAACCACAAAATTAACATACTATAGGGTGGCGTAAGTTTATTGGGCAACTACAAGGGGAGGAGGTCGTCGAGGAGGAGGAGAAACAGGGGGCTACGTGCCCTACGTGTCTTAGCTTGGATATGGGGAGGGGGTCCTTGAAGAGCAGAAAGGGGTGGCTACGTGCCCTACGTGTCTCGCGGTTTCTTTGTTAAGCTTGAACAAGCACAGGGGAGGGGGCTTAGGTGCATACCAGGATGTTCTGTCGCCCTTATCTCTGGGTAGTAGCCCTTATCTCTGGGTAGTAGCCCTTATCTCTGGCTAGTAGCTATCTGCTTTCTCTGTAGCTATCTGCTTTCTCTGTGAACTTAGTTTACTCCCCATTTCCCAGGACTGTTTTATTAAGGCCATTTTATGGCAGCTCTCGGCTGCTCCTTTCATTCCCCCATTTTCTCTTTGAACTAATTTTAATCCTAAAATTGTGTGCCCGTTAATGAGGGGTTTCAATATGGTCACTGGTGGACAGGGCTTGATACTGTTGCGTGAGGACTAATGCCTGTACGGTGGACAGCCTGTCCCTAACAAACTGGAGTAATCGGTTTATAATGCATGGCCCGAAGGTCAGGATTAGAAACAGGATAATGAGGGGACCCGCTATGGTGGAGAGCAAGGTTGTCAACCAGGGCGACCTGTTATACCATCCCTCAAACCAGCTCTGAGTCTGTTCCCTTTCTCGTCGTCTTTTTTCTAGCCGCTCTCTTAGTTTGGCTAGAGAATCTTTTACTACCCCGGAGTGGTCTATATAGAAGCAGCATTCTTCCTTGAGGGCAGCACATAACCCTCCTTCTTTTAGGAACAACAGGTCCAAGCCCCTACGATTTTGGAGTACTACCTCTGAGAGGGAGGTGAGGGACTCTTGTAGTCGTTGGAGGTTTTGTTCTACCTCCATGATGTCCGCGTCCACCGCCTGTTGAAGGATTGCCAGCCCGCTGTTCCCCTGGGTTAGGGCGGCCGTCCCTGTGCCCAGCCCAGCGGCCGCCACCCCAAAACTCAGTAGAACTGCTAGGGTCACGGAGGCCAGCTCCCTACGGAATCTAGTTATAGTGCTGTCATACCGCTCCTCAAGTGTGTTTTCCGGGTGGTAAATCACCTTCGGGACAACTGTCACCAGGACACAGAAGTCCCCGGTCCCGTTGAGAACATTGGTGGACACACAGGGAGTGAGGCCGCGAGAGCATGCCCACCAAGTTCCGGGGGGTGGCACCAGTACGAGTTCTGGTCCACCAGGGAGGGGTTGGTAGTGGTGTTGCAGAGGCGCTGGTAGGCCGAGGGTGGGTTTCCGACACAGGTTCCCCTCCCCGAGACTTCTGCCAAGGTTATTAGGGGGTTAGCGGCAGGGCACTGCCGATGGGACGAGGAGGTATTGTAGGTTCTAACGACCGCTACTCCCTCATAGTAGGGCGGGCTTGCGGACAAACATAACCAGCAGGGGTCGGTCAGGTCAGGGTGAGACTGATTCATTGCCGTAAAGGCAGCCCGTATTAGCAACATTGCTCTTTCTCCTGCAGGTAACCTTGCGGGGGGAGCCGGTGGCCTCGTCCTCTTAGGGGTCGGCGTTGGTGAGCCTATTCCCTTAGAGGCCGGCTGCTTGGTTGTCTTAAGCCGAGGGTGGCTCGGTCGGTAGGCGGGGGCGAGAGCCCTGTTAGGCCCTACCGGTAGGGGGTCGGGAGAGGTGATTTTTAGTCTAATTTTGAACCAGAATTCAAAATCGTAGCCCGTGGCATAGAACCGCAGTCCCCATACCCTACCCTTTATCCAGTTGGGTAGAGTGCTGTACTCCTTGCCCCTAGGGGTAAAGGTGATGTTAAGGGGGACACACTTCCCCTTGTCACATTCCTTTTTTGTTTTACACCCTTCCCTTCCTGCGGAGGTAAAATTTCGCTGCACAACAATCCACTCCCCAGTGCTGAAGGGCTTCCAGTAAGTTTCTCCAGTAGTCTCACACCCCCAAGCCGCGCAGTACAAAGATTCCGGTCCCCCGCATTTAAAGACCTGTTTTCTACTCCTATCATCTTTGGGGCACACATAAAATTCCAGTTGACGTAAGCGGCATCGTTTGTCTGGGGTCCTGCAGCCGGCCTGAAGGTCACTGGGGAGATGGATAGTTGGCCAACCCTGATTGTCGCCCCATTCCGGGACGTGGTCTAGATCAGGCAGGTCCCATGTATCCACCCCTATGATAATATTGCATACATCGGGATAAAGGGAGGGCCACCACGTTCCCGGTACTTGAGTGTCACTGGTCGACCAGGCCACACTACCCGAAGGAGAGATCACCTCCCAGGTGAGCTTTTGTGGCTCGTGGGGGTTAGAAAGGGACGAGTTGGATAAGGTGAAACTGAGACTGGGGCGAATCATAAGCAGTGCAGGGGACAGGCTAAAGATTACAAACATTAGGCAGCTTTTAAAAGTCTTATCTTGAGGGGGTTTTGAGTACGTTGGAGTGTCCATTTGGCTGAGTCGTCTGCGGGGCCTTCTCCCTCTGGCGGTGCCCTCTTGAGGTGCGAAACGTGAACCCAAGCGGCAATCCCGTCGACTTTCACTGCAGTGGGTGTCGTCAGCAGCACCGTGTAAGGTCCCTTCCAACGCGGCTCAAGGGTCCTGGACTGATGTCTGCGGACATACACCGAATCTCCGATCTGGAAAGGGTGTGGCACTGTAGGGCACTTGGATTGGTACACTGCCGCTAGAGGTTCCCACACGTGCTTTTGAATCAGCTGCAGAGCTCTCAGCCGGGTCTGCAGACTGGGGGAAGTGACATAAGAGTCAATACTGGGCCCCAATAAGTCAGCTATTGGGGGAGGGCCCCCATACAATATTTCATATGGAGTCAACCCGAACGCGGAGGGAGTGTTGCGGGCCCGAAATAGAGCCATTGGTAATAACTCGACCCAGTCTTTAGCGCCAGTCTCCATCATTAATTTGGTTAAGGTCTCCTTAATTGTTCTGTTCATGCACTCTACCTGTCCTGAACTCTGGGGTCTGTATGCGCAATGCAATTTCCAATCAATCCCCAGCACCTTGGCCACCAACTGACTTACCCGGGAGACAAAGGCCGGCCCATTATCGGATCCCAGTACCTTAGGCAGGCCAAACCGCGGAAAGATTTCTTCCAAGATTTTCTTGACCACCACCTGCGCTGTTTCCTTCTTTACCGGAAAAGCCTCTGTCCAGCCGGAAAAAGTGTCTACAAATACTAGGAGATACTTAATTCCATACCTACCGGGACGAATTTCGGTAAAGTCCACCTCCCAGTTTGTTCCCGGGCGTGCCCCTCGCATCCTTGCTCCTTCTGGTACTTTAAGACACTTTGGATTTACTTTTGCACAAGGAACACAGGAACACAGGCTTGTTTTACTAGTGAGTTCAGTCCTATTATGAAATAGGTTAGTTCCTCTCTGTCCAGTAGGGCCTTTAACTTTTTATGCCCCAAGTGGGTCCATCTATGGAGGTCTTGTATGAGGTCCTTGGCTTCCTTTCTTGGTAATACTGTTTTCCCCTGGATCTCCCAGACCTTACGCTGGCCGTTGTACGCGCCTCCCAGTCTTTGGATGGCTGTCACATCTTGCTCCGAATATGACCACCCAGGGTTATTTGAGGTTTCAGATGACTGCGTTACCAGAGTGACGCTGTCCAGGGCTCTTGTTCTAGCCACCTCATCCGCCATTCTATTCCCCTTGGCCACTGCGTCATCTCCTTTCTGATGACCTGGGCAGTGGATGATGCTCACTTTCTTAGGAAGGTGGAGGGCTTGTAGGAGGTCTAGGATCTCCTGCTTATTTTTAATGTCCTTGCCCCCTGAGGTTAACAACCCTCTCCTCCAATATATTTCCCCATGTATATGCACTGTGGCAAAGGCATAACGGCTGTCTGTATAAATATTTACTCTCCGATTCTCAGCGGCATGAAGTGCTTGGGTGAGGGCCACAAGTTCAGCCTTCTGTGCCGAAGTCCCTGGGGGCAGAGCAGAAGCCCATATGACAGTTTCCCCATCAACTACCGCCGCCCCTGCCTTTCTCTCACCTTGGTGCAAGAAGCTGCTCCCGTCCGTATACCAGGTGACTGCGTCTGACAGGGGTAGATCGGTCAGGTCCTCTCGGGTCCCGTGCACTTCGGCTAACACTTGGTGGAAGTCGTGGTCGACTTGTGATTCAGACCCCGGCTCAGGAAGCAGGGTGGCCGGGTTGAGCGAGGCAGCAGTCCCATACCGGACCCGTTCAGGGTTGAGCAGCATGGCCTGGTAGTGGGTGACCCTGGCGTTCGAGAGCCATCTATCTGGCGGTTGGCGGATGACGGCCTCGATGGCATGGGGTGCCACTATGGTGAGTGGTTGCCCCAAAGTCAATTTGTCCGAGTCTTTCACCAAGACGGCCACAGCCGCAATCATGCGGAGGCAAGGGGGCCACCCCGAGGCGACACTGTCCAGTTTCTTTGAAAAATACGCCACAGGTCTTTTCCAGGGCCCCAAATTCTGAGTCAAGACACCCTTTGCCATTCCCCCTTTTTCATCCACGTAGAGGGTAAAGGGCTTAGCGGGGTCTGGGAGGCTTAATGCAGGGGCCTCCAAGAGGGCCCGTTTTATTCTGTCAAAAGCTAATTGTTGTTCCCTTCCCCAGATGAACGGGGAATTTGTCCTGGTTAGGGGGTACAGGGATGCTGCCATCTCCGCAAAACCCGGTATCCAGAGGCGGCAGAAACCGGCGCTGCCCAAGAACTCCCTGAGGTGACGAGCATTTTTAGGCGGCGGAATGAGCGCTACGGCCTTTTTCCGTTCCTCAGTCAGCCACCTCCGACCCCCCTCCAATACGTAGCCTAGGTAGGTCACGCGTTGGGTGCAAAGTTGGGCCTTTTTCGCGGAAGCCCTGTATCCTAGCTCTCCCAGCCTACAGAGTAGGGCCTCCGTACCTCTGGTGCAACCCTGCTCAGTCTCTGCAGCTAACAATAGGTCATCCACGTATTGTAGGAGAGTCAATTCTGGGTGGCTTACCCGGAAGTCTGCCAAGTCCTGGTGTAGGGCTTCATCAAACAGCGTAGGGGAGTTCTTAAACCCTTGGGGAAGCCTGGTCCACGTCAGTTGTCCTGAAAACCCAGTCTCCGGGTCTTTCCACTCGAAGGCAAAGAGAGGCTGACTCTGGGGACTCAGTCTTAGGCAAAAGAAGGCATCTTTCAAGTCAAGCACCGTATACCAAGTTCGGGTCGGGGCCAGGGTGCTCAACAAGTTGTATGGGTTAGGGACCGTGGGGTGAATGTCCTCAGCCCTGCGGTTTACTTCCCGTAGGTCTTGCACTGGCCTGTAATCATTAGAGCCAGGCTTTTTGACTGGTAACAAAGGGGTGTTCCAAGGTGACTGACAAGGTCTCAATATGCCCAGTTTTATCAGTCTCTGTATGTGTGGTCGAATTCCATCCTTCGCCTCCGCAGCCATAGGGTATTGGCGGATTGATACGGGAGTGGCCGTGGGCTTTAGGTTTACTATCACCGGGGGCTGTCTGATAGCCAGCCCTACTCCTCCCGTTTCCGCCCAAGACTGGGGGAATTTAGTAAGCCATTCGGATGTTACTTGGGGCTGAGCTGATAAGGGGCTCTCGTGAAGGCGGTGTTCATCTTCCAGCTGGAGGGTCAACACATGGAGGGGTTGGCCTGCGGGGCCGACTACTGTGGCTCCCTTGTCTTGGAAATGGATCTGGGCCCCAACCTTTGAGAGCAGATCCCTTCCCAGCAGGGGGTATGGGCAGTCCGGTACTAGTAGAAACGAATGCGTGACCCGCCCTGTTGCCAGGTCGACTTTACGCTCAGTAGTCCATTTGTACAGTTTTCCTCCAGTGGCCCCCTGGACCCATGATGTCTTGGAACTAAGGGGGCCTCTGGCCGTTGTGAGGACTGAATGTTGGGCTCCCGTATCGACCAGGAAGGTGACTGGCCGGCCTCCCACTTTTAGAGTTACCCGGGGCTCAGGGGGAGGCGCCTGGCCCTGACCTACCTAGTCGTCGTCTTCCAGCGCCAAGACGGGCATCGCTCTCCGCTGGCGCTTTGGCTGTCCTTTGTTCGGGCAATCCTTAGCCCAGTGTCCTCTTTCTTTGCAGTATGCGCACTGGTCTCGGTCCAACCGTGGCCTCCATTTGTCTCCCAGGTCCCTATCTTGTCTACCTTTAGTCTGCTCTGGTCCTGTGACTGCGGTGGCTAGGATTTTAACTAAGTCCTTGTTCCTTTTTTTATCCCTCTGGTCTTCCCTACGTTCCTGTTCTCTGCGTAACCTCTCTTCTCTTTCCTCCTTTGTTTCTCTTTTATTGAAAATCTTTTCTGCCTCCTTAACTAGGTCCTGCAGTGTATACCCCTGCAACCCCTCCAGCCTCTGTAGCCTTGTGCGGATGTCCGGGGCCGATTGTCCAATGAAGGACATGATTACATCGGCCTGCCGGTCAGGGGCCTGTGGGTCAAAGGGAGTATACATTCTATATCCTTCCATTAGCCTTTCTAAAAATCCTGCCGGGGTTTCCTCACTACCCTGCACAATCGCACGTACCTTGGCCAAATTGGTGGGGCGCCTTCCTGCCCCTCGGAGCCCTGTCAGGAGAACCTGGCGGTAGAGACGGAGTCGTTCCCTACCCGCTGCCGTATTGAAATCCCAATTGGGTCGAGTCAGCGGGAACACCTCATCAATCTCATTAGGCAGCTGAGTGGGGCGGCCGTCCTCCCCCGGCACATTTCTACGGGCTTCTGTGAAGACCCGTTGCCGCTCTTCCGTGGTCAGAAGGGCCTGTAAAAGCTGCTGACAATCATCCCAAGTGGGTTGGTGGGTTAACAAAACCGACTCGATCAGTCCCGTGAGGGCCTGCGGGTCTTGCGAAAATGGGGGGTTATGGGTTTTCCAATTGTAAAGATCTGACGCGGAGAAAGGCCAATACTGAAGCTCCCCCCCCACCGAGCGTAATGGGAAAGCCTGGGATGCCGCCCAAAATTCCCCCCCTCCCTTCTGCTCCCGGCGAAGACGCAGGCGGGTGCTTGGTGGCGAGGGGTCTCGTTGGGAAGTGGGTTCTGATTCCCCTGAGTCTTGGACTGTAGAATCCGGGGACGGGGCGGAGGGAGGCATCTCCCCCGGCACCGGACGGTTATATGGCGGTGGGGGGGTCCATGAAGAGGAGGTCCTCCTGTCCGTCCGAAAGGACCGGTGGACATGCAGATTTTAATGATTGGAGTTCTTTCAGAGGATAAAGACCTGAGGTTGGCGGGGAACCTTGCGCTGGGGTCTCTGCTGGAACTGGGGTCGAGGGAGTTAAGGGGGGGGAAGGGTGGAGCCCAGAACTCTCATCAACTCCCTCCTTAGCTTTCTGCTGGTGGTCTTTGATGGCTCCGGGTGTGATGAAAGGCTTAACCCACAGCGGGGGCTTCCGGGTCAAGTCTTCCCACACCATAATATAGGGTACTTGTCCTGGGCGTCCCCCGTCACCCTTGCGGCAGACTTGGTCTTTAATCTGCAAAATTAAATCGAGGTTAAAAGTTCCATCTTTTGGCCACCCAACACCGAGGGTGGGCCATTCGGAGGTGCAAAGCGTCACCCACTCCTTTTTGCGGATTTCCGTCGACAAACTGCGGGCGATCTCTCGAACCTCCTTCCAGTGTCCTAGAGTCAGGCTTAAAGGTGTTAATTGTTGTCCCATGGGGGAGACAGTAAAAAACAAAGAGCGACAAAAACAGCGACACACAGAACACAAATCACAAGCCGCGCGGCAACAGACCGAGACAAAACCGAAACTAAAATTTCAGAAGGGAGCGGCCGTCTGGCCAGGCTCTCCCCTGGAAGAAGGGAAATGCCCTCTTTCCCTCCTTCCCAGACCACCACTGGAGCGTCCTCCAGGGTTGAACCAGGGGTCTCAGGACACGTCTGTCTCCCCCACTGGTCCAGTCAATACTGAGCCTGTACAGGCGCCCCAGGACGGATTCCACGTCGCCCTGGCAGACAAAGACAAACAGTACAAACCACAATTACAATTATACACAAGTAAGCAAACTTACCTCCGTCAGGCCGATGGAGTGTGGGAGTCTGGGGTCCCCCAAATCCCGGACGAGCCCCCAAATGTAGGACCCCAAAAGCGGTGTCCTCTTGTGACGACCCCAGAAACACAGACTCCAGACCAGACGATGCAATAGAGCAGGAGGTAATTTTTATTTCATTTGCGCAAATGGGCCCCCTACTGCTGCAAGCAGCAAGCAAGTGAGAGGAGCCCCGAACAATCATTTTACACAGTTTTTAAAGGGCAAAACCACAAAATTAACATACTATAGGGTGGCGTAAGTTTATTGGGCAACTACAAGGGGAGGAGGTCGTCGAGGAGGAGGAGAAACAGGGGGCTACGTCCCCTACGTGTCTTAGCTTGGATATGGGGAGGGGGTCCTTGAAGAGCAGAAAGGGGTGGCTACGTGCCCTACGTGTCTCGCGGTTTCTTTGTTAAGCTTGAACAAGCACAGGGGAGGGGGCTTAGGTGCATACCAGGATGTTCTGTCGCCCTTATCTCTGGGTAGTAGCCCTTATCTCTGGGTAGTAGCCCTTATCTCTGGCTAGTAGCTATCTGCTTTCTCTGTGAACTTAGTTTACTCCCCATTTCCCAGGACTGTTTTATTAAGGCCATTTTATGGCGGCTCTCGGCTGCTCCTTTCATGTCCAGTGGCCTTGCTCTTGGTAGAGCTGACAGAAGGCATTTGCTGTCATGACAGCTGCTTGCCCAATGTCCTGGCTCCTTATATCAGGTGCCGTTTGGGGTGCACCGGCCTTGCTGGTTCTCCTTGACGGCGTATCACCGTGCAGAACAGTCATTGATTGGCCTATTGCCTATCCTTACATCGCTCCTGCTGCTTGCTTGCTCCTCATTCTCCTGGTCTCTAATAAAGTAGACCATGGAGGCAGCCTCTATGATGTCAGTTAAGGGGGTACTCAACCCAACCCCAATTTTGAAATCTTTTTAATATCAGGGTGAGCTAGAAAAACTATGGTCATGGGCCAATTCTGACACTTAGTATTTTCCTGTGAGTTAAGACCGTGCCCGTGAGAACTATGACCTTTTAGGTGAGATCAACTGTGGTGACCTGCTTTCATACTTTGAGGTCATCAGTGCAATTTCCTATCTACCCCTCAGTTCGGTTTAAAAGGGGAGTTCTGCCCTTTACCGTGTACACCGAAAAATCGATCTAGCTGTCACATTATTTCATAGTTTAACCTCTTATTCTGGCTATGCTGTTTGGTCCTCTATACTGTGGCCAGGCATTATTACAGAAAAGGTCAGTCATCCCTTACATAAGGTCTGGGGATCAAACCGTACATCACAGTGGAGAGTCCTGCAAAACAGTAGTAACTTCCCTTCTGGAAGAGAAAAGAGAAGAAGTGAGGCAGTGACTTGGGTCTCTAGCCTGACTTCCTGGGCTTTCAGATTTAACTGGCAGTTTAACCAGTGCTTACTGCATAGCCTGACTTAGAGGAGAAGTTGTGGCAGACGTCTCTGCCATCCTTTGGCTTCCAGATATTTACCGTGTAGCCAGTGGGTTATGGGCTTGGGTTTCCGGGTTTAACTAGTATTACCGTGTAACCTGCAAACACTCTTGGGGTTCCTGGAACCCAGTAATCTGATATCTGCCGCATAACCTTCTCAAAACGTCTCTAAATCTCTCCCTTTTGGGATCCTGTTCTCAGTACTATCCCTTAGTCAGACTTGGCCTGATGGCCTCTGGCTATTTTAATGTTAATTTGGCTAAGCCAGTCAGCCCCTCTTCTGAAACAACAGAATCCGGGCCTGCAAAACTGCTTGGACAATACTAAAGCGCTCTTTACTTTTGGAAGGGTGTGGCCCAATAGCAAAGTCTATGGATGGCTCCCTGTCCAGACCTATGCCTAGGGGGAACAGGGGAGGGCCGCGAGTAAAGACAGAAGTGCAGCAGGGAGAGGTAGCCAGCTCTCCGTCCTGGTGCCAACCGGGCCCTGGTCAGACACCAGAAGGAGGGAGGGCACATGCTTCCCACTGCCCTTGCTGTCCTACAATTCAATGCGCAGAGCAAGCCAGACCTGACACAAAAACCCGCAGGGGAATGAGGTCAACTTTGAAGCTGCGTCCCATTAACAGCACATAAGGAACCAGACCCTTGGTAGGCACAATATAAGCTAGCAAAACCTCTATAATGCAACAAAGAAGTTCAAACTACCTAGAATAATCAAAACAGCCATGAAGGTGAGATCTAAATCCACACTGCTCGAATACTTCAACTAAAACCAGATCAATCAGGACTACTGCAATCACTCAGTCAATTAAAACAGATAGCTAACTTTAGCTCCTTTCCAGATTCAATCCTCAGACAATCAAAGCTTAGCAATAGTAACAGCGCACAAAAACTTGAAGGCGCACCAGAGCTACCATAGTTGCCAAGACTGAACCAGGTTGGAAAGGGTTAACTGGTAACAGCTTTTTCTTAGGTTGAGAGACCTGTGAAATTCCCTCTCCCTTTCTCCTGGCCAACTAAAGGAATGAAGATGAGGAGAGCAAAGAGTTCTGGGAGGGAGATGGACAGGACAAGTTGTGAGCGACTGCCCTCACCTTCCCTTATGAATCTCAGCTGGAGGAGAGCATAGGGAAAGGCCCTGGTATCTGGGGGCTAAGTGGGGTTTGAAATCTCCTATCGCTCAAGATTGCCCACTACCTAGTTGTCCGAGTTTTCCTGGAGGGCCAATATTAGCCTCGACCAAAGCTAAGCCCTGCTCGCGTAGCAGTAGGCAGCATGACCAGGCTTTCCGGCCACCGGAAAGCCAAAGCGAGCTCAGGGAGTCTCCAGGCTCTCAGTCAACTGCCCTTCCTAATCGCCCTCCCGTTCCTTACAATCCCTCTGGAGTTTCAACCGTAGCCACGTTCTCGGAGAGCTGTGGGGTGCCAGACACTCAACGGTCACTTACAGATCTGGTCCCGCTTGAGGGAAGGAATACTGACCTCCAATGTCTTCTCAAAATCCCTTCGTGGTTACCAGAACTAGTAGGCTCCACAAAGTAAAGATAAAGAAATGGAAAGCCCAATTTTTATTTGAAAATAAATTTGATAACAATATTTGTTCATACTCCATTTTGATTTAACGGCCTGAAAAATATCATCTCCTTTAATTTCATCCACATTATTTCTTTTCTTGGTCAGCATTCTGATGCGATTGTGTGAGCAAATTTTAGTTGGAGAAATAATTTTTTCTTATGTACATACTCTTCCCCACATCAACTTAAAAATCAATGGTATTTGAGTGATTTCACTGATTTCTGTAAGCAATGAGGGTTGGTAATTTTAACACATTTCACACTTTAATATAAATGATAAAATTAGATGCTATGGAAAATAACTTCATAAGAATATTAACAGATTAAATCAAAACTACATCTTCATTTTTTTATATTTGCAATTGGTAAAAATAAATGGGCCAGTGAATTGCTGTATTCTCCTATTATATACCTTAAAGCAGCAGCACATTATCATCAGATTGATTTTGCCTGCGGTAATTATGTTAAAATGGTCTTATGAGATACAAACAGGGATGATTTTCTTCTTCAAACAACGTCTGTGTCAAAAATATTTTGTAACCTTGAGAAAAGACATCACTTTATAAATCCATGAAAAATATATTAAAATTGAGAATTTTTATATTATGTTATGACAGCTTAGTAAAATTAGTAAAATTTAACTTTACCTGAAAATATTCTGAAGTCATAAATTTTGAAAATGTTTAATAATATATCTCAAGAGATACACATTACTGTATTTTACATTGGTGGTTATTAAAAATGATTTTAGAAGCTTACTTCAAATTATATTTCAAACAATCTGTTTCAGAATACAGCTGATTATGAAAACCATACATACCAAATGCAAATTTCTAATTTTCATACTCAGCAGTATTTGGTGTATACTTAATTTTTTTTTCAAAAACCTTATAATTAGATTTCCTATGTGCTAGGTAGTGTGTTAGGTAATTAATAGGATAAACTTTATTTCACTTAATCTTTGCAATAGATTGTAAATTATAAACTTTTATTTCTAGTCAGTTTAACTGCTTACATAAAGTCTAATAACTTGT